TTTTTTTTTTTTTTTTTTTGGGGGGGGGGGGAGCTAAAAAGGTTCAGTTTTGGCCAGAAAAAGTCCACTCTGAATCAAAGTTTGACCTATTGCTCTGAGGAAGCAACAGTGTCCACTTTTCAGAAAAATAATTAACCCGTCCTTTGAAATACCTGTTTAGTATATAACAGGATTATTTCCACAAAGTTTTATACTTAACTAAATCTCTTATATCTCCCCCCATTAAATCGATGTTGTGTGTGTGTGTGTGTGGGGGGGGGGGGGGATTGCAAATTTAAATTTGCAAAGCAGATAAAATTTGAGAATAGTGAGCATAATTTTAAAATGTTCTTGGTTTTACCTTTTGTATAGCATCTATTTTAAACTAGGGTGTCATCTCTGAGTGTGGAGGAGGATCAATAGTATAGACAAGTGTTAATGTTAGTGTTGGGAGTGCAGTATGTTGAGCTATTAAACACTAGTGATATACGACACCAATAGTTTTAGCATTTGCCCATTAGATGTGCATGGTATTTACAGTGATAATATTTCTATTTTTATAGATTTTAAAGAAAAAAAATTGCATCACTTCTGTTGACTAATTCAATTTTGTGGTGTTAAACTACAGCCAACATTAATGTCAGAGTTGTGAACCAGCTAGTTCTGTGGACGCAGACACTAAAATCAATTCTCGCTCAACAATTGTATGTAAACTATTTCTTTTAGTTACTGTAGGATGATAAAAAAAGAATTTAAACAACAAGTTGTCTCTTCAAAGCATTAAAATAAGAAACTCAAATTAAATTAAAATATTGACCAGATAAACATTTTGTCTGCATCAGTGCCTATTGATCTGTCTGTGACCTTGACCTTCTAATGACCTTCACATGACACTCCAGTCCCAGGAATTCCAGGATTTTTGTGGTTTTTGTGTTTGACATGACTGTTCTGAAAATCTATTCTTGGATTTGCCAGTTTTGGAGGTGTGGCTTATGGGACTATCAGGAAGTATTGGAAACCTGCAAGGATTCGGATTTTATGACAAAAGGCAGGATGTTTTTATCATTGGGGGAGTTTATGCATTTTAAATTGGGTGGAGGGGGGGGGGGATCAGATTAATGAAAAGCAGGGATACCACAAGACCAAGTGTTTTCTACTTTGAATTTTCTTTTCTCTGAAAGTTGTCCTCCTACAGCCTGTGAATGGAGTAGTTGATTTTTATTACTCAAATTGTGTCTACAGTTTTTATTTTCAAACTTTTTAAATTCTTCTTTTCTTAGTTTAAAACATCAAGTTTTTGCACGCAAAAAACAAATGAGACAGCATAAACCAGTGAGATGTATATCTTTCTCCAGACCTTAGAATATTTTCTTCTGTTTTCTTCCAGTTGAAGATGAGGCCTTCGTCACCTTGGCAACCAGCGACACGTACGCCCTGGGCAGTCTGGTGTGGGGGCAGTCTCTACGCAGAGTGGGCACCACGCGGAAGCTCGTAGTGATGATAACTCCTGGTGTTTCACACGGCATACGGTACGTCAGCTGCATGTGTCAGCCTGAAGTCCTGTTCACATCAGGTTTAAATTAGGTCTGGGAAATGGTACATGGGAGAGAATTTGTATATTTGCCAAGGTTCTCAATGGTGTAATTGTGCAGCACTATGAGGAAAGCATCATGCAATTTTACCTACAACCATGAGATTTGGGACAGTTTATAAGAAGCATGCATGTAATAGAAGACAGACAGGATCTTGATGTCCATATTTGGGGATGTGTGGGTAGGTGGGTGGGGGTGGGGGGGGGCAAAAATGATCTACAGGTTGTGATAAAAACAAGACAGCATCTGTCTGTTTCTGTAGGAAACTCCCCGGCCACAGTGTATTAGCAAGGTCTTTACATTATGTTACCAAATGCTATAGTTGTGGTAGCATCGTAATTTTATTTATTTCACGCCCGTAGCCAGGGGGGGTTCGGAGGGTTCGAAAGAACCGCCCCTTTTGGTGGGAAAAGGTCCACTCTGGGTAAAATTTGATCTAGGTTCATGAAGTTTTTATTGAAAAAGGTCCACTTTTTCAGAAAAAGAACCCCCCTTTTGAAATTGCTGGCTACGGGCCTATATTTATTTATTTATTTATTTATTTATTTATTTATTTATTTATTTATTTATTTATTTTAATTGGCACACATGTTGTGTAAGGACTGCAACCTGTACAATACATGTACATCACAGTATGATTTCTTTCACCAGTCTGGAAATGAATTTTGTCCTCTATCACTCCGTGATATATATAGATTTTTTCTTGAGGAGTTGTATTAAGAAAGTCCCAGGGCACCCATCCATAGGTTCAAAGATTACTGGAAACTCTACTGCATTAACAGCATGCCTTTGCTGTATCTTGGGCCTGGAGAATACAAGTAGATTTCCATTTATCTTTGATCTTCAGGGTGCAGGTACCCTAATTAGTAATTAACCCCTCTGGTCCCAGGGTTGTTAATCAGGTCCAGTATTTTTTGAAGGCCAAGGGTCATTGGACATAGGTCTATTAAGGCTTGTTGAAAACGGTGCTTGATTAGGAAAGATGAGATCTCCCTACAGTTATACACAAGTCTCTGGAACCTTGCCAGACCTTCAGGATGTTACTGTTACTGTGATTGATTTTACTGATGTTGTTATGGCTGTAATTGCTGTCTTCAAGTTTTTTTTTTTCAAGTTAATGATGTGAACCAGTCTCCAAGTTTTAGTACAGTACTTGACGTTGAATTAAATGTCATTTTAGGTGATGTATCGCCTTCATAAAATATATTGCGAAAAATCAGATATGTGTAATTAATATTCTCACTGTAACAGTGTATACATGTCTGAAAAGGGATCATCTAAGCCCAAAATGTGGTGTCCCAGCTTAAAAAGAACTAAGATTTTGCAGGGATTGGAAGAGAATGGGATCAGAAATAATTGCAGGCTAACAAGGGCTTTGGGCAATGAATAAAGGCTGATAGAATATGTTTATGGATATTATTTCTGATTTTTTCAAAAGCTCTGTCAAATTGCAGTCTGTTGGGCAACAGCAGAAATTCACCATGTGTTGCATGTCACTTTTGTGTAACTTTATAAGACAACAATAGTGGTCCATCGAGTTTCAACCCAATCCCTAAAATTGTAACCCCAACTCAGATTCAGATAGATTTTCTGATCTTGTATGGCATCTCAGATGATCCTCGTAGTGTCTTAAAAAATTCTAAATTCTGGGAAGAGATAGTTGATTATTAAAACTGCAAAATGAAAGTAATAAGAGCGCACTGACACACAAAGTGACATAATTTTCTGATGGTAGTAAGATGTGGTATACAATCATTCATTCATTCATGGTCTGAGTATGAATCAAAATGAGTTGACTTATCCCGCATGTCTAGACAACTGCTGCTGCTGATATCAGATTGCATGTACTGAGGTACCTGAAAGGTGTCTTGTGTAATGCC